TCCTTCATATTGTCTCAAACGTATTTTCAAGAACTTGTGCAATATTTTCGGTTATATTCGGTTTCGGTTAAAAACCGAAATCGGTGCATGCCAATTTTGAACCGACTATTGATGAATTATCAAAATCCAAGAAATTGAAACATAATATTCAAAATATCAAAATGAATATTGAAATTGATACAAAAAAAGCGAATTAGACAAATTCAGTTGATGTAATGAACGAGACTTATGTAACATCAACAATAGCATTATTAGACATCGTCGTAAGAAAACAATGAGTTGAGTTAAAATACGAAGTTAAAATACGAAGTTATGCCATGGGTGTTAAACGCCTCGTCTCTGTTTTCGATCATGAATGGCTCGTATATGATCCACTAAGCAACAGTTCGTTTGTTGTTGACAAAAAGATTGTGAGAAATGAGAACGAATATATGAGAGACACGAATCAATTCTAATGGATGACAAGTTTTTGGCAGTTATCAAGTAATAAGACGTATGATATTGACTTATATTTTGTCTAGGTCTGTGCAAAATAGCTTTACTTTCGAAGAAAAAAAGTAACAGACACTCATAAAGATTAATATTTTCAAACGTTTTTTATGTACGCATTGTTGTGACTACAATAATTTTTCAGTATTTTGCGTTTCATTTGCTACTGTTGATAATTGAACATTGGAAATAAGATCAATAGTATCATCTAATAATAATTCCGATGATTGTTGATGATTCGTTTTTATATGTAGTTTTTTTGATTGTTGTTTCGTTTTCATGCGTGTATAAACAACTGTGACTGTTGGAGATTGAGTACTAGATCGAGTTGAAGGAGTATTGAATGAATATGATTTATGTTGACGAAAACAACATAGTACACCTGTTATTACAACCAACAGAAAGACGATACAGACAAAGATCATCACTAGTATAAATGTATAACGACGCACAAAATGTGTTTTTGATATTGCGTCAAGTTCATAAATAGTATCGGTGCGATTTGTCTCATTATTGTATAAATCTTCATCGGCTGTACAATTCTTACAATCATTAACAAATAATTCACTAATACTCTTGTTTGATTCTGTTTTATTCTCAACAACAATCATTGATAATGACGTTGTGCTAATCGATTCGTTTTTAGTATCAATTTTAATATCTTTCTGTATCATATCGGCTATACAGACAGGATGTCCTGCTTCCTGACATCGATAAAGCGTTGTGAAACTTCCTGAAGTACTTGCATAATATCTTAAAACACATTCTCGACTCCGATCATTGGTGGTCAATTGTTTATTATCAAGTATTAATCTTAACAAATGTTTTTTCATTCTCAGGGTTTGAGTTGAATTACGATAAATTGTATTTTCAAGATGATAAAAAAACAATTCAAGTTTGATATCATTTAAAGCTCTTCCAGAACTACCATTTAAAACCATCATCAAATTCACATTGCCCGATTCGTGTGTTTGAAATGTTGTCAATATTCCATTATGTATTTGACATAGTTGTTCAGCTTTACTTAAGTTATCAACGAAATATTGATGAGTATAATAACATTGATCATTCAACGAGATGTAAGACGATGGACATTTGAAGGTATTATTGTTCTTTATTAATTGTGTATTGTTGTCTCTAAAATATTTATGTATCTTGTATGAAACAAAGTAGTTTAGATTCATTCACAGTTCAGATGACTTCGTTTTCTCATGTGTTACTGTATTTGGAATAGAAAAATATAGATCGACTCTACATTTAAGAAAGAAAAGCTATGGTTAAGATTTATGATACGCAAGCCTGAAGTAATAATAGGAGGCTGTTTTTACAAAAGCAGCATATACGAAGAACCAAACAAATTGTACGGGCAACACCCACATGTAGTTCTGCGAATTTAAGTTTTTTTTAGATCCATATCAGTCCAGATCCGAAGCAACGAAGCTCCGAATCTGATCCACAATTTCGAAACTTTCATATCCGTATCCGTGGGTTTTTCCAGAATTTCTTAAAAGTTTCTTAAATTAAGTAAATTTTCTAGAAATATTGTTGTTCTGAATTAGAACCACTAAAGTATTAGGACAATTAAACAAAAACTGAGCGTCTTTGTTCCTCTAATGAGAAAAGTGCTTCCGTAAGGATGCCATGTTCAGTATAACTTTTTAAGAAAATAATATGGTTTCCTACATAACTGGAGGTGCTTTACTAGATAAACACCGTGGGATTCATCCGGCTTCAGTTTGTATATTGAGTGAACAGACGGAGCTGTGTGGAAATACCCTTAAGTCACTTAAAGGTGCATTCCTCTATTTGTAATAAAGAATTTGTAACACAAGACAGGCAGAATGTTTTTTATGAAAATTGTAGTCTTGTGAGAGAAACGACGTTTTTCTATAAATATGGCCGCTCAGATATTTTTTAGCGTTTTTTTAAACATATCACCGATAAAAAAAAATTAAAGTTTGTTTAGAGTTAAAGAAAAGTGCTTTTTCGTATTCAGCACACTTGATAACCTGGAAAATTTTCTATTTTTAGCGAGGGGTACCGGGAAAAAGTTTAGG